ATCTCTAAGAAAATGTTTCGTCTTACCTTCTACATTAAAAAGTTAAGACAATCAGGTATCAACCAACCTTAAGTTCTGCAATTTTTAAACTCCTGTATTTTACCTATTGTACTGTACTGCTCTCCATTAATCTTTCCTGGGATTCTCAAAAAAGACTATATCATATTACGAAGGGTATTAAATGCTATGAGTAGGGCTTGTGGTTTGCCATTGCGTGAGCTCGCCAATACTATAGTCGAGAGACACATAAATTCCTGTACAAAATGGGCAAAGGCCATACTGTCAGACCCTCTGCACCCCCTTTATTCACAACTATCCCTTTCTATCTTATCAGGTAGGACGAGAAGTCAATATAAAAATTTATATGCTCGAACCACTAAGTACAAAAATTCTACAATACCGTATTTAACCCGCATTTTATGTGATGAAGACTCTGATAGACGTGAAACATATAAGTTACTATGTAATTAGCAAAGTGAATCGACCCTTTCATTGTTCATCTTTCTGTAATTTTATGGTGTCACCCTTTCTATCGTTTAATTATAACTTTGCTATTTTTATTTTAGTTGTTATTGCTATTATTACTATAATTTAATACTTTATGCATATATTTCTCCGTATTGCATACAGTAATTTGCTAAATAGCTGCGATAACAACGTTTTGTTATTATTATTAAGTAATGTTTATCTTTTATTTTGTTTTTTTTGTCGTTTTTGAGTAAATTAGATGCAATATTGTACTGAATGCTGAAAATTCCTTGCTGTATCATTAGTACCGTTTTTGGAATAAGGCAAAAATTATTATTATTATTATTATTAAGATTCACCACTGTCTCTTTCTGGGTACATAGATTCGGTTACAGGACTTCATCATGAAGTGACGTCAGTTAAAGAACCATTGGAAAACCTAGGGGTACTAGACAGCTATTTCGGTCTAGTTTGAGGCTCTTCATCAGCACACACCCATCGAACCCAGGACCTTCCGGTTAAAAGTTGAGCCCGTGGATCATTTAGCTACTAGGATCCGACCCAGTGGCCCATGAATTTTCAACTCTAACCGATGTTAGTTCATGATGAAATCCTGTAACCAATCAAATCCCTGGAAACCAACACTTGAGCATAGATTTTATTGAATGATATGATGGTGATCGCCTCAGTAAAACGTAGAAGGCTAGGCACTTTTGCTTGCTGATAATTTTGAGTGTCTTCAAACTGTCCACAAAATGTCATTGCTTAATGTCAGTGAGCCCTTTAGTTTCAGGTTCTCTGGTGTGTGTTCCGAAATGCGAACAGTGACCCTTCTCTCTGTTCTTCCAATGTCTGTGCGTTGACACGCACATGTAAAATGGTAGACACAGATGGAAGTAACATAAGGTGGGAGTTTGTCCACTTTCGATTGTCTTAAACAATTGTTCGTTTGATAAACAGTTACAAGCTTGGCGACTGGGCATGTTCTTTTCAGATAAGAGTTCAGTCTGCACCTTATTCTATCAGTAATATCATCACTTTGAAGGTAAGCTGTAGAAAGATGGACTTTCTCTGTGCAGTGCTGCAGTTCACTTTTCAACACTACCTTTCTCATATTTGTTGATGAACTTCTGTGGGTAACCATTATCACACAAGCATTTTCTACAATGGATAGCTCTTCCTCAACCTTTTCTTTTGAACATGGCTTTCTTATATGCGCAAATAGTGTTCTTACCAATCCGTTTTTGTAAAATGATATGGATTGCAGCTCATTTAAGCACTGAGACAATATGCAGGTGTTTTAAGAAGTACCAAATTGTAAAAAACGCCTAGAAACTGGCCTGTCTACCTATTCATTCTCAAAATTTAAGTAGCGTATCAAATTTATTCTCACTTATTCAACATCCAATCCCTTTTACCACAGTAGCCTCAAACTTTTCCTTTATTTTTAACTTATCTAAAAATTTGACATGTAATCCATATTCAGTCTGGTTTCTTTCTTTTCAAACTCCTAACTTTTAAATATGTCTGATAACTATTCTGAATTTCTTACCGACATGAACAGTATTCTTTCTTCCAGATGCTTACAAATTTAATGTTAGCCATTTCTCGGCTGCAGTCACTGTTTAATTTTTTCAGATTATGTAATTCGTTACCTCTACTGACATGTAATTTCATGAGTTTTGTCCACCAATTGATATTAACAACTTACCTTTGTAGGCATTTCCCTGAAATTTTAGAGCACTACGTAACTGTACATCTTTGAAGTGAAGTTACGCGAAGAATATACTTTTCTGACCTATCCCTTCTTAATTTATATCACAAGGGTATTTTCCATAATTCAACATTTTGATTGGTGTAAGACTTTAAGACTTATCTGAAGCGTTCGTTTGGAGACCATATTCGTTACTCTTGAAACATATTGAAGTTTCAGGCTATCAGTGAAGAATACTGTACATGTTGGAGGGAACGTTTCCTAAAATATTGTTTTCTTCATGATTGGACAGTTACTGAAATTGAAATATATCCGAGAATCATTGTAGGATCTAGGTCATGAGTCTTTCAGAAAACATCTGGAGGTTTCACTGAGTTAGCTTAAGGAACAACAACAATGTCTCATTTGTGAGGGAATTCCTGAATCCATCATAATTCACATTTTCATTCACGCCTCCAGTCTTCGTTTCCTTAATCATCACCCCAATAAGTGATCTGCTAAGGTGGAGATTGTGAGGATTCTGATACTTTCTCAGTAATATTCACGTACTATGGCGTCAGTGGCATAGCGGTTAGGACGCTCGCCGACCATGCACATGGTCCGGGGTTCGATCCCCAACCGACGCACTCCTTTACCTCGCTATGCCAGAAATAATGCTGGTGAAGAGGGAAGGTTGGGCATGAGGCTAGCAACCCCATCCTGTAAAATAAACACTGCTATAGAAACTTCAAGCCTCTAGCTTGGAGCCCTATGTTCCACTGGGGAACGTGAAGGTTGAAGAAAAATGGCCTTAGTCCCTGACTAGTGATTACTATTCACTGTCTTTAGGAGGTAGAGGTTACGAATGTTACGAATGTTCAGTCCTTATAGCAGAGCTAATGAACTTGGATAGGAAATCTTTACCTCAAAAGCAACGTTTCGTACTATGTGTTTCGACTGATGAAGTAGCTACATGACTGTTTCTATCTCTGGGTTTTTTTTTCATTCCTTCACGTTCCCAGCGGAACATAGGGCTCCAAGATACAGGCTTGAAGTTTCTATAGCAGCGTTTATTTTCACAGGATGGAGTTGCCAGCCTCATGCCCAGCCCAACCTTCTCTCTTTACCAGTCTTCTTACTGGCTTAGGGAGGTAAAAGAGTGCGTTGGCCAGGAATCGAACCACGGACAATATGCGTGGTCGGCTAGCATTCTACCGCTGGGCCACCGAAGCACTCTATCTCCGGTAATCGTAGGAAAAGAGCTACTGACATTACTTTGCTGCTTTGTGGATAATAACTTAAGTCAGTCTAACCAGTTTAATTAGACTTCAGCCACCGCATGAAGCACGAAACGATAGTGTCACCCTACTGTTTTGTATCGTATGTTTCTGTGTAAGTAATGTACCGTATCTGCCACTAGGTTAATAATGAAAGCCAAAGTAAAGTTATATCAGTTCATTTGGTTTAACACTGGGATTCATTTGTTAAATCCGCAGAAATTTATTCCAATTCGAGATACATTTAGTCATTAATCGATGTCAGCTGGTTTTAAATGATACCAATTTGTGACAAAATCTCTATTGTGAATAAATTCTATGTCCAGTCAAAAGAAATTCACTAACATGGTTCACAAATTACTGAGGGAATTTTCTTTTAATATATGCTTACACTTACAGACACCAACATATGCATATTCCTTAGGGAAATATTGAGAGGAACATATAGTCAAACTGCCTAAGGAATAATAATTTTCACATACAATTGTAAGTAGCTATATACATCTTATTATGTATGCACTGGTCAGCTAACGTTCCAAAGCAAACTATGAGGCCACTCAAAAATGACAGTTGCATTCTTTTTTCTTCTGATGCGTTTTGTCTTCACCAAATTGTATAGTAAAAATAATAATACTAATAATCTGATTGAATTCCCTACAAACTAGCACTAAGTGTATTCACCCTTGATCAATACTTCTAGCTGTACTGATTAAATAGGTCGATACACACATATACAGATACGGATATAAGCAAGCATGTGTGTGTGTGCGTACATTACAGAATCAAGCCAAAAAAAGTGTGCCAGAGGGCAAAAGTGTGTTAAACCTACTTGATTATGGGTTAGTGTGCACCTGTACAGCACAAAAAGAGTTTTTATGCTTGTGTGCATAATCCAAATTACCTATCCGTATTAAACCTTTGGGTTAGGAAATTTCTTTTTTATGTGCCAGGGGTAAGGAAGATTGGCACAAACACGAACAAGCGTAAAACTGTAATCACAGTATAATATTGTGCGTATAGGCGTTCGGTTACAACAACAAGCACATACACACACCATCACATTGGTGGCTTTTGGATTATCTCTTCGTCACACACTCATAAACACGCATGCACACTATTTCTTTCCTACTTCCCATTACAAAATAAACATTTTGGCAGTCTGACACTTTTTTGACTCAGCGATACACGCTTACAGGATATTTTGTAATAGTAACAAAACATTTTTGACCTAAATACACTGATAAAATGAGGAATCGACATTCAAGGATCACTCAAAACACTGGGTTTATTATTGTAAAATATAATTAGAAAAAGTTATTTAGCACAGGAACTATCTTTTCCCTTATTCTAGAACATGCCAACTGTCTCAAATGAATGTCATACGATATTACGTGTAAAATGAAAAGACCACAGATTGCAGGGAAGTGTTTTGTATAAGAGAAGACATCAGCTATGCATCTTTCCTAATTCACATATTTATTTATATTTAAAAATATTAATTATCTGAAACCGTATAACCCATTCCATTTATTTTACTATTGAATATATATCTATTAATATAGAACTATAATCACACCAACTATTCCTCGAAGAACTCTACCAATGACATCAATCAGTTATTATCACCTTCTAGTGATAAATTAAACGGTGTTAATTCCTACTCAAACAAATATCCTGATATACAACATTCAAAATCACATTCAGTTTCATCTACCCTATTGTTGCGTGATGCAAATTCACTGAAATCAGGCGGTGGTGGTGTTGGCGTTGGTGCATATCGTGAACAAAGTCGTTCAGTTGGTGGAAGTTTATCCTGTGGTCAGCCTAGTCCAACATCAACAGTTGAAGATTCAAATACAACAGCATTTTCACCAACTAGTACGCATACACTTGATGCTGAAAATTCTAATCGTGGCCTATGGTTATATCAATCAGAGTTGAATTTACCAACAAATAGTGAAGATACAAGTTTGGATTACACAGTGATTACACCGTATAAACGTTCAGAAAGTCAACAGATATCTATTCTATCTGATTTTGATACTAAAAATAGAAGTCAAACAATAAATAATATTTCATATAATCCAAATTCGGTTAAATACAATTCAGTGAGTTCCGCCATGCTTTATACCGGCAATAACGCTAATCAACGCAGTAACAACAACAATAATAATAATGAGGATTATATGAATAATTATTCTTCAGGTGAGAAATATCTTTTTATTGTTATTTTACCTTGTTGAATTACAAACACTTATCTACTTATTAACTTTCAAGATGCTCAAGAAGATAAAAAGGGATCAAAATATTCAAATATATAAAGATAACATATTTGTGTCTCTTGATTTCAGCGAAAAATAATCGCAACTCTATTAGAAATTTCTAATCCTCCAAGTATAAAATACAAAAGGGTTCCAGGAAAGGGATTGGTTGTTCGTAGTAGACTGTGGAAGCGTAATCGATTCTCATTCCTTGAGAGTTGATGAGTGATATATGCCATAGTACCATGATTACATTTTCCCTTCATTCTTTGAGTTCCAAGTAAAATACTGGGCTTCAAACTTAAATTTTCTGTAGCGATGGTGTTGTATTTTACAAGATGGGATTATTAACCTCCCACCCAACTTTGCCTCTTTTTGGGGGTTACTGCCGCCTAGCAAACTAGGTAAGGTATGAGAATACGCTGGTTGTGTCTTGAGATCTGGACTACCTCCGCTGTTGACCGGCATTCTACCATTGTATCATTGACGCACGTTCTTGGTTAAATAAACTTATGAAATTTAATCCTGGTAATGAAGGATAAGAAGCTGGTTATTTCCTTGTGTGAACCAGATAACAGATGATAATACACTTTAATTTCCCGAGGTCATATTAGAGATTATCTGACCAAACCAAACGTCCACTAAAAGACGTCTGCTTGTTCCAGATTGATATGTCATATGCTACTCTAGCACTGCAATGCAAACTTTCTTCACTACAAGGGTAAATATGCTATATTGTTTGGTCCTTACTTCTGAATGAACATTACCGACCTACTTGGTAATGTAGTTATTATTCTGTGAGATAGCTCTAAATTCACCAGTCGGTCATTCAAAATGAATTCTGCCATACAGGTTCCTTGTATGGATGTCTCTATATATCCAGGATTAAGGTCTAGAAGTTGACTGTTTCATGGTGGCTCGCAGGAGAATCTCCGACGTGCATTTTCGAGCTCGTCATCTGGATGTACTTGCACTCACTGGGTGTTTCTATACAGATTCGAAACAAGTACCCACCGTCTCAAACGTCAAAGTTATTGGGCCAGGACTATGATAATTTTAACAAGACTACTTGTTCAACATGTTCCAACCGAGTTATCATATTCAGATAACAGCAGATGGTACAATAGTATAGTCACCTTAACTCCAGAAGTGACTTAACTTGACTAGGAGAAAAGGCATCACAAAATATGTCAACCTACTAAGTCATTAGTTTTGGATGTGATGCGCTTGCTTACAAATCAAGTGACCAGTAAATCTATTGCGTGATTCACTGTTAACGGAAGACATGACGAAAATATCTTCAAAAATACCGAATAGCAGCCAGAAGATACATGGCTTCTTCTTTTGTTTCATGGTGTATAGACAATCACAGCGCGACATAAGCTTAGATAATGCTGTCAAACACAATAACAGAAAGAGAACTTTCGCAAACCAATCATTCAAACGAAATTCTAATCACCGACTGAATCCTTATAATGCTTAGAAATATAAAAGTAATCATTCTGGAATCAACTGCAAAGTCAAACCAGTGGATCAATAATCATACAATAACGCTAAAACAAAATATTCAATAACCTCTAACAAAAATCTCTTCCCATAATTACAAATAAAAGATATTATAAAAAGAGGATGTTTACATCTCTATGCCACTTGCACATATGCCTCACTGTTTAACACGACTGATGGTGAAGAAATCACCAGTTTGGGTAATGTAATGTCTGAGGTCAAACCTTTCATCTGGGAAAACACGAAATAATTTCCACCCTCTCCCTGACCTACAAACATCTTCTGTTATTTCGTGTGATTTGTTTTATCATAATAGACTTCCAGGTACCTGCATTCAATTCTCCACTTTAGAAAAACATCAAAGTATGTTCTGAAATGAATTGATTTTTTATTAATGTTTAACGCACAAATTAACAGTAGTGTTAAAAATCAATGAAAAAGGTGAAAAATAATCTTTTTTTTAAAACAGGGGTGCATTACATACGTCTTTGCTCTATTGCATGTTCTCGGGGGCGTGTTTATCTCTCCCTCTATTACATTCAGGATGTCTAAACGATTTTATGAAATTTTTGTAGGTTGTCGCTCTTGGAAATTTTTTAATACTGGCAGTTTCATATGACATAATTATTAGGTTGCATAGGCCTACATCTTACATAAATCGGTTTATAAGATTTGTAGGGATTTTTGGCTAATTTAATTGGTTAGATTATAATCGTGAACAACATCAGTTAGAGAGATCACTTAAAAACCAGGAAGCACCGGATAGCTGTTTCAACCCATCCTTGCACTCTTCAATCGTCGCACACTTAAGAGCCAGTCATTAAACCAAGGTTGTTTAGTGGATACTCATCAGAGACATTGGTTGATGTTAGCGCTATATTATGAGTTGACAAAGTTAGAATTTACGGGTCACTAAGTTCCATCCATCCCAAGTGTCTGAATGGTCAACAAAACTTGTTCTCATAACCTGAAGGTCCCGGATTAGATCCCTAGTGATGTAGTGGGTTGGTACTGACGAAGAGTCTCAAAATAGGACGAAACGGGTGTTCACTTCTCCCTGGTTTTCAATAATATCTCTAAACAATTTGACAACTGAGATTAAATAGGTTTATTTTTAGGTTCTTGGAGGGTAGAAGTACAAAATGTTTTGATAACATAATAGAAAATATAAATTTGAATTTAAGGAGGTTAGAAGTTCATCTGCACCACTCAACACAGTTTGCTGGTTAAATTTAAGATGAATTTAGATTTCCAATTGTGTTTATTATTCACATTTAAATTAATATTTCACTCTGATCTGACTTTTAAACTCACCGGTTATTTTATTTCTCAAACAAATCTTATATGAATACTTTACCGTATTTTCGCGAGAAAATCGGTCACCATCAGGAAATAACAAAGGAGATCAAAATCAAAGTTGACCTCATCGATGTTGTTGGGTCCATATTCTTGCTACCATTTTAACTGTAACATTGCATTACTTAATTTGCAACATTTTTCTACATTGTGCAGTCGTTAACTTATTATACCGAAGGGGAATTCCCTGTCTTCCTTGACATGTAGGAAAATATAAAATTAACTGAAACAATTATTAACTAATACCTTTTGTGTAAAAAGCAGTTGTCATGACCTAGTGGATGATGCTTTAGAGTTTGAAACGATGGGCATTGGATTCAAGTTTCGGTGGGAACACTGACACTCACTGGGGAAATGCAGATACATCTAGCTGACGAGTACGACATGGGACGAAATGCACATTGTGAATTCCACTACTAGTCACCATCCAACAGATAACATTCTATGAAACTTTTTTTGTTTTTGATTTCAGTTTCTTCATTTACCTTCCTTCATAGTGCTGAAACTTGTATTATTTACTTCAAGGTTTATTGTAACGTATTCAGTGAAATTTTATGGAGTGCACTGATGTAATTCTTGAGAAGCAAAGTGCCAACATACTTTTTATATATTCTCAGTGAGTGCTGATTTTCAAGTATTGGTTTGTAGGGATATGATTGATTGGTTGGAGGATTTCATCATGAGCTGACATCAGTTAGAGAACCATTGGAAAACCAGCAGGGAGTACTGGACAGCTGTTTCGTTCTAGTTTGGGACTCTTCATCAGTGCACACCCACCGGGGTTCGAACCCAGGACCCTCTGGTTACATGACGAGCTCGCAGACCACTAAGCCACTGGGACCCGATCCAGTGTGTCGTGAACTCGTAGAAGTCAGAATTCATGGGCCGTTGGATCGGGTCCCAGTAGCTTAATGGTCTACGAGCTCGCCTTATAACTAGAAGGTCCTGTTTTCGAACCCCACAGCGTGGGTGCGTATTGATGACGAGTTTCAAACTTAGGCAGAATAGCTGTCCAGTACTCCCAGGTTTTCCAATGGTTCTCTAACGAATGTCATCTCGTGATGGAACACTGATTTGTTTGGAAACTTTTATGCACCCACTTTGGTTAGATTGTTAATGGCCTTTTAAAACATCACCAAGCCATTGTTTAACTGAAATATATGTCTGAAACGGCTACTTACTTCATGTAAACAGTTTTGATTGACTTTACCGGATAAGTGTGTAATTAATCACTCTAAATATTTAACCTATAATTCGCAATTTCTGAACCATGTTGGTTTGTGGATTCATTATCAATAGAATGTATTTTCAATATGTTATCTAACGCCGTCAGTGCATAGACATTTTGATCCATGTCGGTACTGGTAATCATATACCTAGAATGATTGTTGTACAGTTAAACCCTGCAGTCTGATCAACATTATGGTAATATTTCCGACATCAGCATTCATAAAAGTTTGCCTACTTTCTCCAAACAAAACAGCGATTTGAAATGTGAAACTATCTGAAGGATAAGCAAAGATTTTATAAAAATTATTCCCTACACGAAACTAAATACGATCGCTGTCTATGAAAGGCGACTATATGAATAATGTTCCTCTTATACTGTGTGAAATAGCGGCTAACATTAGCATATTTTAGGATATATATATATATGTATAATTGCTGGAAATCTCTTCTCTGAGCCACTGCATTTTAACACTTGTAATGACAGTTAGTCGGTTCATGAGCAGTAACTTTCAGGAATCTCTCAAAAATGTTTCATATTACGTGTATAGTACAATTTATCTGAGCAATTGTTTGTGTACACACTTCATATTCCACTTTGAGTTCTTCTAGACACAACGAATTCACTGCCATTCATTTTATAAACATTGTTGTTTTTCAACGAGATTCTGAAATATGAAAGAGCATAAGTGAAAATGAATTATTTACATAATCTCCCTAGTTAATAATTGCAGTGACACAATTTAATCATTTCAAACAGAAGTAACTATGCTTACATTTTGCGGAATATTTTCTTTTGCGTTTCTCCTATGAGAACGCAGACATTATCTGTTCTTAGAATTCGTCTACCAACTGCAAATTAGTGGAAATCTATCTGCAGAACAACTCAGATCAAGAAGTTCTCCTTCTTGTTGACATTTATCAGAAATGAATGACAGTAATATTATGTGATTTCGGGCTTGAGTCAGTTAAGCCCAGAGTTGAGTAATTTATCTACTGAGTTACCTGGAAGACAAATGACTTATTGTAGGGCTGGGTTATTTACGTGAAGTGGCTGTTCGTATGTAATCACTGTAGCTCTATCGTTCCAACTGTTGACAAAAGTCTGGCATACAGTCATGAAATGTGATTATCCAATTACATAACATGACACTGATACTCATTACAATGCACTAATTCCCTCCAAAACATTTACTGAACCCCCAAATATGAAATTATAGTGGGTGTGACCATTTCAATACTAAATCAGTGAAAAATAAAACTTTTTTAACTGTTTCCCGATAATTCCTATGACATTTGCTTTAAACTATGAAAAAGGTCGGACGAAACTATGGTGAGAATTCATCATGAAATGTGTAAATTGCTAATCTGATTTATTTTATGACCGATTCCCTCAAGTAACTAGCCGGAAATTAGGTGATGTGAACTGATTCGGCTCTGTACGTTGAGTCATAACTGGGTATACCAGTGATGACCTCAGTCATAAGCGATTAAAAGGGTTGCCAGGTGTTTGGATAACTTTAGTGTGGCTAGTAAGCACTGCTAGTTGATGTGAGTGGTATCTAACTACTCATCCTAGTCAATCAGTGGTATATAGTGAAAGCGTTTCATCCCAAAGTATTTACAGAATTCGCTATCTCTGTTTAGAAGCAAAAGTTTCTACAAATTGATTGTGTAGGGGCTCTGATGTGACTGTAGTCTTGAATAATACCAGACTTAGGTGTTTAGTAAGCAAATCAATTGTAAAATAAATTGGAGTAACAGTTCGAACTGTTTATCCAGTCTAGAAAAGAAGTAGTTAATCTGTCCTTAGTAATGAGGTTGAACTAATGCGTGTAAATATTAACCAAGCAATTCTACTTTACTGTGACTGGTGATACTCTGGCCCTCATCTAATAAATCAAGTGAATCTGACCAAATATTACATGCTTTCCCTTGGCTAAATTTTAAGGAGTATAAGACAATAAGAGTTTTAAACACAAGTATCGAATAAAAAAAGTTAGACCTACTTGTTGGAAAGAACAGATATGTCCTTACAAATTAGCATTTTATTGAATTAACCTAGATTAGAAATGTTTCCCACTGAAGTAACGTATGGTATTCGTATAGATTAGCCTAATACCCATTAAAATTCTTTTAAAAAGTTCTGAGAAAATTAAATAACTGCATACTATGTCTAGAATGATGCAGATTTAGGCTAAAAGTGGTTTAACCACTGCCTTAGAAAGTAGAAAAAAGTACCGATTTTCTTTGTAAATTATATCTCATCTTTAAACTATTTGATTTACTTGATTCATAAAGTTACTCTCTACCATTGTTTGTAATGGGATGTTACCTAGGAATGAATATTTTGTGATCATGACTTCAGGGTGGTCATTGCCCACTCAGATAAGTATAAAACTTGGGCACTGTGGTAGAGTGTAACTCCATTATGGATAAGATTTTATTTTGATAAATCACACAGTGTTACACAGTAATATTAACTGATGACGTTTCGAGCACAAATTATTATTATCATATCATATGATTATGAGCAATAATTTGTGCTCGAAACGTCATCAGTTAATATTACTGTGTAGCACTGTGTGATTTATCAAAATAAAATCTTATCCATAACAGAAGTAATCGACTTCGATTTCTTATTATCAATATATTTTTATACAAACGGTTTGAAACTTAAAGTTACTTGTTTGTTGATGTCTAGCAATAGAATGCAGGATCAGGATTTTGTCATATTTGCACTCATAGCTGGATGTACCTGCATTTCCATCTAAAGACTCGAACCCAATACTCCAGGGTCATGGTGTTGTTCAACATGTCACCGAGTAACTAGAGATGCCTCTTGTGAAATAAGCATGACTTCAAATTATCTACTCATATTTATAATTCCACGGTGATCTATCAGATCGAGATTAATCAGCCTCATTTTGGCATTTGAGTTCTTTGAAGTTATGATTCTTAGTAATTTCATGGATCCTTTCAATAGGCTCACATATGGACACGAGGCTAATTAATCGCTATCAGATATATCAACAGAAGGTCGCAAACATTAATAAATAAAGTTCAAAGCTCTTTGTAAGTTTCAAATCACATCTTACTGTTTAGTTGTTTAAGTGCTAACTATATATTTTTTATTCCAATGATTTGAACTATTTCGGTTCTCTGAACTGAGTAAAGCCGAATACACAGCTGTTGAGGTCGGCCTTAAATGAACAAAGCAGCCACCCAGTGTTTAGATCAAACTGCTTTTATCTGACAGACCAGTGGAATGTTGAGAAAAGGTTGGGCTGTCTATTGTGCTCATGAATGTTTATGAATATCCACCATTTCTTTAAAACATTCAGTTATGAATTCATTTGAGTAAAATATTCATTGGTCCTTTATTGTTTTCTTTTGATGTTTCCAAGGTCCAAGTTTTCGAAAGATTCAAAATCTTCACGGTGGAGGTGGAACACAGAAGCGTTTTCCATCCGATACAACGCTTAATACTACAACAAGAGAAGGACCCCAGGTAAGACACTTTAATTTTTTGTAAAAACAGTTTGTACTAGACAAAATTTTCTGATGTAATATGCCTGAACTATGTTGTTATATATGATTGGTAGCTCTGTAGCTAACCGTTTCCAGTGAATTAGATTCACTAAGGTACTTCAGACGATAAGAGACAAGAGAGTCGGTATGGTTTATTGGGACTAGGTTTCTCATTTGTTAGTAATCGTTGATAAAATTTGCCTGAAATCATCAGAACTTACTCTTCTTTAGAGATTTATGCCTGATAAACTGTCTAGGTAGTCATATGCATTATAAATGCAGCCATTGAAACTAAATCTTTGTATGGTCATGTGTTTCTTCTAATATGGAATCCAGAGCAACTAATCCCTTTCCTAAACTAAGAAAGAATTAACAATAGGTGGAGCTTGAGCAATACATTTCAAGCACTCTGATCACACATTTACTCGTCATTTCACTTTATACTTGAAACAAGAAAAGAATGGCAGGTCATTAAAAATAGACAAGGTGATAAAGAATTTAGGAGTAAGAGGGAAACTAATTGACACTAATCTTGGCAATAGCATCAGATCTAGATTACTAAAGTGGATTGAGGGTAAGAATAACTAGTTTTTGTACACACAGGAGGAGAAGGAGGCTTAATTTTACAGATATCTATCGCCTCAGCTTATCTGTACCACTGATGCAATAGATGGCAACAATTAATATGAACTGTCGAAAACCGATATGCTTGGAAGTGCTTGAATCGTTGTAGAGAACAGTTCAGTTCAAAGCTCATGGTTTAGTTTTTTTTCTCAAGACAGGTATCTATGCTAAGAATACAACATTCAGTGAAGACACACTTTTCAACGAATTTATTGTCACGCTGTACAATCGTATGTATATGGCTTTTTCAAAAAATTATATTCTGTTAGGTGAATACATAAAATAATAATAATAGTATGGAATGCAATTAAAATGTTTGTGATTACAATCACGGTTAAATATCAAGTGATAAAACAAATAACTTCATACATAGAATAGTTCATAGAATATATAGATGTTGGAAGGGGGTGTACAACTATAGGTTTAGCAGGCAAATAAAAAAAATTCCATAACATAAGATAGAATTTAACATTGAACAAGACCTTTTAAATTTAGAATGGCATGTGGGATAAGTTGAACAACACCTGAAACAGTTCAAAGTGCGAATGAAAATAGTAATAATAACAGTGATTCCATCGAAAAGGAGGTTTTATTCGCTGCAGCCACCTTTATAGTTTTTCCTATGACCTAGTGTGCATATTCTATGATTTGAACAATAATAATGACCGTAGTAATGAGGGAAAGGCAGGTAGATTAACTAAATAAACGTGAAGAACAGATAAATAAAATGTTTATCCCTTAATGGCCAAGGCAGAAATAAGGATTGTACATACTTCTGGCTTCAATTTATGAATAACCTACATCTCTGCTCTCTTTAGAAGTAACTAATAAAGAAAACGTAGCAAATCGACAAGAATTCGTTCGATAGATGACCTTAAAACCATGCCAGAAGTTGAATGAGTGACAGTGGCCAATCAATTAAGTGTTCCATAATAAAGCTCCTCACACCGTTCATTTCTCAGTTGCGAAAACCATGCCGTAAGGTGTTCACATATCCATGTGAAAAGCATTCTCTGGCTACGGCCAAAGTACCTTTCTCCACAAGAGCAGGTGAACTGATAGATGCAAACACAGTTAGAACTACAAATATTTCTTAGCCTAAAACACATAGAATGAATCAAGTCTCTTTTCATGGAGATAGGCGCCCAGCTATTAAAACTGGTTTGTTGTCTATTCTATATACTTTTCCGGTAAGTAGATCTTTTGAGTAAGAGACGGACACCTGATTTCAATGGTCCGTCTGCTGAATTTGAGCTACCGATATCACATACTGAAAATTCCATACTTGTACCAAAATACTGTGTGGAATCAGACTATAAAAAATAAATAAATAAATATATCAAATAACCTGACAACGGGTAAATAAATGCTATGATAGCTGATTACACTACATCACATATTGTACACCGATTTGTGTGTGTTTGAGCATACATTCGTATGTAGTAGTAATTGTGCCTTGCACTTGAGGTTTGGGAACCTATGGCTAAATGGCTTGAAAAACAGTTGAACTCCATAGTCTCGATAAATACAAGTGCTAAACTACCAGTCACATACTTATGCAGCAAAGTCAGATTGTTGATGTGATACAAATATATGTCAGGGCAGCGTTCAAGAATGTGTTTAAAAGATCACAGGGACACACATCAATATCTGCTGAGGTGATAATTATCGGTAAAATTACAGCGCTCCCTCCTTTGTCAAGAAAATAATTTATTCTTACACTCGACCTATTTTATTAATTCTTAACTGATTCTATCATAAAGAGTGGTGTCGATTGTTATAATCACTATCCTATTTACCCCTATTTACCCTTTGGTGCGTCAGTGGCGCAGCGGTAGAATGCTCGCCGACCACACATGTGGTCCGGAGTTCGATCCCCACCGACGCACTCCTTTACCTCGCTAAGCCAGTAATTAGACTGATAAAGAGGAAATGTTGGGCATGGGGCTTGCAACCCCATCCCGTAAAAATAAACATCACTGCTACCGAAACTCCAGAGCTCTAGCTTGAAGCCCTATTTTCCAGTGGGAACGTAAAAGAATAAAAAAACAACTTTTAAATCCCTTCTCCTATCGCTTATTTTATTATTGAATCCGCATTCTGAAACCTTAAAAGCATCTCCTACCCAGAAATATTACGATGGTAGTCAAAAATCTAATAATGTCATTTTTTTCAATCTGTTTGACCTAGTACTCTGAAAAGATCAGTTTTCTTACGTATTTTAACCCGGTTCGCTTTGGTAACTCATTTTATTATTATTCTTAATAGTAGTTTATCAGCTTATCGAAATCTCCATAAATTATAGATTAATGTAAAAAAAACCTGTTTTTTATTCACTTTCGCGCTCTTTCTGTGTAACTTATTGATTCAGTTATGACAAGACTACTACTATAAATAACACTGTAAATGTCATGGATCATACATACTTAGTGGGTTTAGCAAATAAATGAATAAATACCACTTCTTGAAAATTCATCGCAGAAAATATCGCTATATACCTATATGATCATAATCTATCATGCCAACAATTTTTACCCCTACAAAAAGAGTACCCTCTCTTATGTGAAATGTGTGTTTATGTGTGGGTGTGCGTTTTTTTAGGTCAAAATGTCATGTAACTTATGTAAGATGCAGTAGTTAGCCAATAAATTTCTGCATCTATTCACATAACTAAGAGTTTGTTGGAATTTTACGATGTTCTATCTTTCAGACATTGTATCAACAACAACAAAAAACAAACATTCTATTTACTACCCATAGTAAAGGATAAATTTATGCCGTGCCGTCATACTGGAGACCAAATTGCGTATATATATATATATCCCCTTTTGTCAACTGTCCATTGAAAATCAAGAATTGACATGGGTACTGATAGAGAATCATCAATTAGTTCGTCTTCATTAATTAATTTTGTGCGGGATAAAGTTGAATTTAGTGACCAGTGCATTAATTTCATACGAATATCAAATAGTACCACCTAGAAGGAGGATTTTGATATATTTCATGAAAATATGCAAAATGTCACTTCGGTTCTTTTAAAGTTCACCTAACTGATTCAAACTGATGAATTCAGTTGAATAACTGATCAGGTAGGAGTTAGTTTTAGAAGATCTATAACCAGAAGAATTGGATGACCTTTTAGTAGTGTTTAAACATTCTAAATTGAGCGAAGGACTTACTGGAAACGATGTAGTCTTTCTGCTTTGACAGGTATTTTTAAAGCCTAACACTGTAAATTTTGTAAATGATCATACCCACGAGGTTTGCATACTATCAATGAAAATATAATCTCATAACAATAGGTCACTGGTAACGTCCAAGCTTCACAGCCACTGTACTTCTTTTGCCAACGCTTAGAAGTCCAACTCATAAAGTCTACTATTCATACCACACTAAGAAAGGCAACCTGCTTAAATCACTTGCCTGCCTATCTTTTCGTCCAGTAAACTCGTTAAATTCTCTCTATTTTATATTCTTTCAATAACACGGTTGAATCCATGAGTTAGAAAGTGCTCCTACCCTTGGAAATGCATGATAATATCTTGGAAACTGATGAATGCTTCAAGCTGAATATATTGTCCGTTATTTTACCTGAAGCCTGTGTTCAAGCAGTAAGTATTGTGGAATGAAACATATTGAGAATACTGAGCTGTATGGAAGCTGTCTCTCTTGGGTGAAGCTATTATTCTTGAGTTAATAAATACTTCAAATTTTCAGGTTGTAGGGATCCTGACTAATTTAACTAATTGGCATTAATTAGAGAATCATTCAAAATCAAGGAGCACCTGGCAGCCGCTTTACCCTAATCTGCGGCTATTCAACATTGCGAACCGAAGACACCACCAACGATGCTGCAATAAATAGCTAACAGATTTATTGTCTCGTATTTTAATCTAAACAACTAATCCTTTCGATAAATTTTAAAAAAGCATTAAGAAGGCAAATTTTAAGAGATGATATCATTTCATGGTTTCTTTGCAATTGCATTACAGTCAATATTTTTTTTATTCCTTTACGTTCCCAGTGGAACACAGGGCTTCAAGCTAGAGGCCTGAAGTTTCGGTAGCAGTGATGTTTATTTTTACGGGATGGAGTCGCTAGCTTCATGCCCAACGTTTCCTCTTTATCAGTCTAACTACTGGCTTAGCGAGGTAAAGGAGTGCGTCAGTGGGGGGTCGAACTCCGGACCACATGCGTGGTTGGCGAGCACTCTACCGCTATGCTACCGACGCACGACAGTTAGTATGTCTGATAATTATTTAGTTACAAAAAATAGTAGGTTAAGTAGTCCAAGGCAGAGACGGGTTGAAAATAGTTATTTTTTTCATATATAGTTTGGGATGCATGCGTCACTGA